TGCCACATGCATACCTATTACTGTAGATGCTGAAATGGTCCCGCTTAATCCATTGGAATTGCTGGTTTGTTGGCTCGCTTTAACAAAACAAAAAGACATTAAGGTTGGATGTTCACCACTTCCATTCGACTTACATGACGCTTCTGTCGCACTCCCAGCTGCAGAATTCGATGATCCTAGAAAGAATTGGACAGTTCAGGCGGGAGCTCTCTTGGACGCGTTAGCTGGTAAAAGAACGTGTATCATAACCCTGTTTTACAGCAGACCTCGGCATCTTCTTCATTAGTAACCCTAATATATGAATACTCTAGACGATACTGGCCCTATTTCATCGGTCAACCTCTGCCTATTATGCCTTATTTGTTGGAATGAGGGCAGTTTATAGGGTGGTCCTAACAATTGTGCAGTAGCAACTATGCACATAGAGCTCTGTCTTCCAGTTTGCTTGTTAAAAGTTTCTAATGCCAAATGTTCAACATGAGTAGAGAATCAGGTTTGAGCGATGTTCTGGGTTTAATTCTCCGTCGAGATCTATACTGTACATCTATAGGTTACGACGGACGAAAGAACAGAAACGATAAAAATGACGCTTCTTACGTCTTACGGCCCATCACTACCTGTTACTGTAGATGCTGAAATGGTCCCGCTTAATCCATTGGAATTGCTGGTTTGTCCGAGCGCTTTAACAAAACAAAAAGACATTAAGGTTGGATCTTCAACACTTCCATTCGTCTTACCACTAGGAAAACAGTTTTAAAAGCTCTTCGATGAAGAGACAATCTACATTATTGTCAAAATTAGGCATGCAACAATCCCAAACTAGGAGTCGCTGATCGGCATCGAACGGTTTGTTACCGAACATGTTCGCTGCCGATCAGCGAGCCCTAGCTTGAGATGGTTGCATGCCTGATCTGGACTACAGGCAAACTAAATGAAATTTCAGCTTTCGAAGGAACTAACCAGTGAGAAAATAGACTAAAGTACAATGTGAGCGAATGTGTCTTCCACTGAATCGCTACCAAAGGTTTAAAAAAACAGTTTATCAAAGCTAAGAACATGAGAACGAAGGAACACATGAAAGAAATCTTTGTAAAACAGAAAAAATGGTGAAGATTACACCAAACGGAGTAGCAGCCTTGATTACGCCGTAGCCGTTAGTAGTCATGTAAAGAAAAGTTTGAATCAGAGCAGCAAATTTATGTTTACTTTATTCCAGGAAGTTGAAAGTACCTTTAGTTTCCATTTTACTCTCTAATTACTTACTAACGTGGTATCTATATAGCAGATTGATTTACTTTGTTTTAATGCAAAAATCGTTTTTCTCACTGTGCAGAAAAAAGTAGACAGCCAGTTGTAGCTCGACTTTGAATGTATCTTTATAAGGTTCATGGTACTTTGTCCTAATAGTTTGTCGGCAGAGCGCCCGTCGATGTCTCTGATGAGAAACATATAAACTATCGGATTTACAATCTTCGTTCGAACACGTTCGATAGCGATCCAGCAGAAGACACATTTCACACAATTTGCCTTTAGTCTAGGCATGCAATCATCGCAAGCTAGGACTCGCTGATCAGCAGCGAACACGTTCAGTAGCGAACCGTTCGGTCACCGAACTATCGGTTTGGTGCATGCCTAGTCAAAATGCGAGATTGATTTTAGATTATAAAATAGTTATTCGAATAGTATCTGAGTATTTACATTCAACCAGTGAGAATAAAATCAAGTTTCTCATTTTTTGCGTTCGAACTAAGTTCGTATATCTTTGTGTTCTCGATGCTGCAGAATCGAATCCGGCATGGTGAACTACTTGTCGAAATATATAATTTTCGGATGACATGTTTAGACAAATACAAACATGGCGTAGACACATCTATTTTGTGGCACATGCATACCTGTTACTGTAGATGCTGAAATGGTCCCGCTTAATCCATTGGAATTGCTGTTTTGTTGGCTCGCTTTAACAAAACAAAAGACATTAAGGTTGAATGTTCACCACTTCCATTCGACTTACATGACGCTTCTGTCGCACTCCCAGCTGCAGAATTCGATGATCCTAGAAAGAATTGGACAGTTGAGCCGGTCGCTCTCTTGGACGCGTTAGCCGGTAAAAGAACGTGTATCATAACCCTGTTTTACAGCAGATCTCGGCATCTTCTTCATTAGTAACCCTAATATATGAATACTCTAGCAGATACTAGCACTATTTCAAATCAGTCAACCTCTGTCTATTATGCCTTATTTGTTCGAATGCGCAGCATGAGTAGAGAATCAGGTTTGATCGATGTTCTGGGTGCAATTCTCCGTCGAGATATGTTTTTCTTTAGAGCAACCTCGTCTATGCAACTGTTCAGAATACCAAACTGCAACCTAAAACTAAATAAATTCACCGATTTTACATTTTGTTTCATTATATATTTCAATAAGGAAACTAAAGCGTTTAAATATTATTCCTGTTTTATTCAGGCCTTTGAAAAAACGACGTGCAGTAAAAGTTTTAATGTCACAACATAATTTGCCTGCACGTATTTCCGGCCTGAAATTGTCTGCCAGTTTGTAAATAGAAACACTGAGAAGATTTATACCAGTACTTCAAGGGAAAATTGGATGTAGTCACTTAATATCAAAAAAGCTATAAAGTTTATTATGCTTCAAGTGCAGTACGTTCAGTTATAGTATGACCTGTACAAACAACACTAAATGAAACAGCAGGTGATTAACAAAATAAAAGATAGTAATTCAGAAAGTGCTTTTCGAATCAATACCGTCAAATCTACTTGATTGATTGAAAAGTATGTTCCGAAACCCTCTACTGCTATGATTCGACTAGATTTAGAAAGTGAAGATAGTAAAATACGGAAAATATTTGCTACAGGCTACGCGG